GTATATATATATATATGTGTGTGTGTGTGTGTGTGTGTGTGTGTGTGTGTATTAATACTGCTTGGTGATTGCTAAAAAATTGTACCATTCTAAGTAAGAAAAAACAAACAAAACAGACTGCAATATGTACATTCATAAATCATAGTCATACTCATTAAAAGTATAAAGTATTTATGTCGCAAGCAATTTATACAATCCATTGGCACTGTATTCAATATCTAAGAATTGTACTCATTGCCACTAATATAGAGGATAGAAAACAAAACTAAAATAAATCCATTAAAGAAAGAAGGGAAATAAAACTCCTTTAAACTAATTTCTTTCATAAAAAAATCTCAAAATCTTTTCAAAATGCCAACTTAGTGCTACCTTCTTTACCTAAACTCTTCACATGTCTATATTTATGGAGAGTTATTTCGATGCCTCGTTTTAACCACATTTGTATGTGTCTTAGACACTTGGTCAGGCAGATATCAATGTATATTCAATGAATAAGAATTATTTTTTAAAATCATTAATATTCTTAAAAGTTTTCGACTTTGACTATGGTTTGTACGAAAATACAACTAGATATTACATACTTTGTGAAAGTATTTATATCTGCATTAATTTATTGTTGTCAAAAGTGCATAAGTATAACCTGAAATGAAGTGTATAATGTGAAAACCTCTTTATAGTGTATATGCCTCAAAAAATATTTTAAACGGCAATTTCTGTTCAAAGCATTGTATTGGCCAGACAATTTCCATTATTAGAGTTACGACAACATGACTTGGTGTTACCCTTGTTGTGAAAGAATAGCTTAAACAATGATGGCAAGTTAAGTTGCACAGTGGGCAAGTTAAAATTGGACCACTTGAATAACTTTTGATCCAATGATCAGATTTTATCCCTTTCGGACACAATCTTAATGGTGTAAGGAACTTAACATACTAATTAATTAAAGCAGATGATATTTTACGTTACGAAAAAGGACACAAATATGTACTTTCTCTAAATAAATATGCATTTTTTACTACGGATTCGCATATATGCTTTCCACAATATAGGGGGCAGCCTATGATAAAGTCCGAATCTATCGAAAAAAGGTTGAGGTAATCATTAGATCAAAAGATATTCAGGGTGATCCGTTATTTTATTTTCAGCACTGTACAGAAGTATCATTTGTTGACTCTGATACAGCGCACACGGTGCAAAAAGGTTCACCATGAATAACTTTCTCACATATTAATATAGAAAATTTAGGACATAGAATAAATTAGAGTTATGCTTTAATTATAAAATCTACAAAGTTATGATTAAATTACTAAATCTACAGACATAAAATTGAAACGACCATGTTTCTTTTTACGAACTTTTAATTATTTCAAAAATAGAGGGGCAGCAAATTCATAATTCCCTTACCATAAATTTACGATCGGTTAAAAATATGTTAGGTAAAATATTAATATTTTTTTTAAAATTTATTATTTTTCAGGGCAAAATAAAAAAAAACATGAAATAAAATAACCGAATAGGATTAGAAAATGGAAAATGAATATGGCGATTTGTCTACGAAGATTTTAATGTCAATAAATAAAAATTGATAATTTAGAATAAAGGATTGAACTGAAATTTTAGCATGCAATACTTTCTTTAGATAAAAATATTGTGATAAAAACAATTGTTGTTTGGTTGATTATTTTTTATAGATAATTCATTCTTTAAATGTAATTACCATCATGACTCCAAATTTCATTTCATTTTAAAAACTAAAACTTTATTCACACAGCTTTTATTCTGTGTGTGATTCGAAATGTTTGTGTTCGACAAATTTGAGTAGGTAGTTGTTTCGCATTGATTTTGCTTAAAAATGAAGTAATATTTAATGGCCATTTAATAATTATTTTCTGTTACTGTAGGTTAAAATTAAATGTAATTTAACTTTAAAGTGATTGATTCTCAGTATGAAGCATTAAGTATTGTGCATAATAGTGTGGTAAAACAAATTGATCAATTATGAATGAAAAAGCTATTTTAAATAAATGAAGAATTGTAATTTTTGCTTAAGTTTACATTTAATTTTATATCATAAAAATTAGTTAGCTTTAAAAGATGGGATGAGGTTTGAATGAGACTCATGTTTTTTTTTCTAAGACAACTTTTTGTTTCTAACTTAACCTTCATCTTTAAAAGTAAATAATTGATAGCATCATCTTTAGTGCACTCTGTTTGCAACATGAGGCTGTGTGGTCAAACGAGCTCTCTAAATTAGAGTTTCACGCAAATATTTTGAATATATTTGAATATTTTAATCTATTAACTGTTTTCTTAAACTTTTAGTTTTGTTATTTTTTATATTATTTTAATTTAATCAATGTAAAAAAATATCCGTAGTCTTTAGCTCATATTTATAACATTTCCTGTTAATTTTTTTCTCTATTGCGCTTAAGGAGAACATTCAAAGTGATCAACTCAAAATGGAAATAGATGTTTATCAATTAATTATTTTTACTCATGTTATTTGATATTATTTTTTTTATATCTTTAAATTTTCCATCTATTTTTTTATCTATAAAATATTCTAATAGAGATTTTAACAGTAATGTAACTTTTCTTTTGGTGTTTTGGAAAAAATTATTTTTATATAGTCAAATTGAATTTCAGGAAATACTCTTAAAATATATTTTTTATGCTTGTGACTTCTAAGAGATTGTGGATGTAAAAACTTATTATATATTCTTTATTTTAAATGATAATATGTATACAAAGAGAGTATTCATATGCATTTGATTAATCAATACGGCTGATACTTTTACATTTTTTTTATAAATAGGAATGTTTGAGGATAATCGGCCCTTGGAGACTGAGGACAAGAAATCTTTAATTTATTCTGAGAATTCTATAAGTGATGACGAATTAAAACGGAAAGGAGGTAAATGGTTTTTGTTCACTCATAAGTACCTAAGAGAATTAGATATTTTTATAGAAATAGAAATTAAATAGCAATAGAAAAGGAATATAATAGAATGCAGTAATAGAAAATGTAACAGTAATGCAACTTTTCTTTAGTTTATTTGGAAATATTTTTTTATATAGTTAAATTAAACTGCAAGAAGTGCACTCAAAATTTATTTATTATGCTTGTGATTTCATAAAGATTGTAAATGCTAAAAACTTATTATTTATTCTCTATAGTATTTTAATGACAATTTATGTAAAAAGAGAGTATTCATATACATTTGATTAATTAGTACAGCTGATACTTTTTCATTTTTTTTTCTTAATAGGAATGTTCGATGATAATCTTCCCTCGAAAACTGAAGAAAGTAATTTTTTATTTTATTCTCCAACTTCTATAAGTGATGATGAATTAAAACAGAAAGGAGGCAAATGGTTATTGTTTGCTCATAACGATCTGAGAGAATTGGATCGGAGATGGGTTGTGATGCAAAATTTATGCAATAATGGAACTCTAGCTGCAATTAAATCATCCACCATAGCCTGTTCTGATGTTCCGCAAGTAACTGTTTGCTACACCACTGATCCTAACAATCAAGAAGAGGTTAAATACGCAGCAGATGAAATCAGAACATTAGTAGACTATAAATTTTCAATGTATTATAAGGCTTCTAAATTATCTACGGGACTAAATGGAGAATTGGAGAAAAAGGAAATGTACTTGTATGAACACACAGTGAACGGAGAGTTCTACAGAAAAGGTGAATATAAGCAAACATAACTGCATAAGTGCTGTTGTATTTATTACTTGTATTTATTGTGTTTATTACTTAGGTAGGATGAAAGTACTCCCAATTGCATACAACATTTTATGTATTTTATGTACACTTTACAGAGTATTACATAGAAAAATTTACTCTAAAAATTACTTTTTCCATTCGTCACTTAAATAATCTAATGTATTGGACCGTTTGATTCATGGGTGACTGAAAAATTTTTGTGTTTGTCCAATTTGTTGTAAAATATAATGCATATATAACAAATTTGAAAAAAAATCCTAAAAATATTGTACTCGTAATAGTTGAGTTTTAAATCAGCCCACGGACAATATTAGGAAAAGGTCACATGGAGAAATTTTTTTAGTAAAATCCCCTTACTTTATGGTACTGACATGCATGGTAAATAAAAGTATAATTTTGGCAATATAAACGTAAATATACGGTTTTTAAATCATCTATTTGGTTATTTTTTCCGTTCATATGCTAATGGGCTTACTAAACATTCAGGATTTTCAAAATTATTATTCTTATTACTCACTATTTAATAAACATTACAAAACTAGAAAGTAAATTAAACTGAATAAATGGTTTTTATGTCATGCTCTAAGGTATAAAGACAAAATAACCGAATTTCATCACATAATTTAAAATTATTACTAAAGTGCTCCATTTACTGTAAAAAAGAGCAGATCAAATTACAGTTTTAAGTTACGGTATTACAATTGGTAATAATACCGACACTTTGGGTGCAACATCCATAAAATCTATTTTTACCGTAAAATCTATTTTTACCGTAAAATATTATACCGTAATATTGATTTATTTAGGCTGATTCAGCGATGTGACAGTAACTATTACTGTAAAAATTACGGTATAATAACTTTTTGGTCCGTAGCACGTTCCGGTAAAAATGGTTTTCTTAGGCGGTACCCTGCGTGCTGGTACATTACACCATAACTTGATCTGGAATTTTTTATAGTTTGAAACTAGAAGTACGGTTAATTTTAAGATATTCTGGTAGTTTAGATTAAAAAAAATTTCCCTGTGCAATATTACTTTCAGAAATAATAATTTTGCATAGGTTTATTTCGTTAATATGAATACATTTCTTATCTTTTGACATTTAAAAATAAGATATTTCCGAAATAGATACATAGTTTCAAAATGTTGTTGTAAAACAATGGAATGGCCCAATGCTTTGGAATTCAGCATATTTATTATTGATGCTGTCAGTTTCTTTTTCTGATTAAAATATTTCTTCCTAATATTGAAAGGGACACAAATATTTTAAATGCACGAATATGTGACACAGTAAAGGGATATATATATATATATANTATATATATATATATATAAGTATTCGTTCACAGAGTAAAACTTCTTGAAATATCATTATCTCTTTTCTTCTAATTAAACACCGATTTATATTTAATTTAACACTAAAGATCCATTTAACTAGTCATGTATGTATATTGTCTTCTGAAGAAGAAAACGATTCAAATACGAAATAACTAAGAGAAGGGATAAGAAACAAAACAAAAAAGAAATATTTTAAAACCTATTTTATACAATACAAAGGCTGCTAGTGATACAACACAAAAAAGTGCACGTGTGAGCTTTTGGACACAAATAGTGGTTAATATTACGTGACGGTTAAGTTGGCATTGTTGAATAACACCCTCTACTGTGGTTTCTGCTAATTATTTAACACACATCAACTACTTAGAATCTACTTGTGGTTTTTATAAAATATTAAATAATAAATATTGATATATTTCAGTTATATATTCACTATTTAAATACATTTCATATTCATGATATACCTGCATTATACAATCCTTATTTTTCTTCATTAGTTAATATATTCATATTCTAACAAACGTTTTAGTGTTTTTTTCCCTGTCGCTAAAAAATTAGTTAAATTTGACATATGGATTTCTTTTTCAGACATGGATCATTTAAAGCCTTCAACCATATTTTGGAAACCTCACATTACCTTTAACGGTACTTCTGGGAAAACCGAAGGAGGGCAAAAATGTGGTAAATATGTATTATTTGATGGTACAGTTAATCGTTATTATAGATTCCTGGCTTTAAAACACTTTTGTAGTATAAGATATGGAATAAACAAATAAATACAAACAAATCGAGGCATACAGGGTTACGGTGGGAATCAAACCCGGTACTTGTATGCTTCGACTGCGGGATGAAGAGTCAACCTGATTGCGCAACAGCTAAGCTAATCATTTAGTTTAGCCTTTTCCAGTCATCTAAAAATGAAAAAAAAAAAACATTAAACTGATAAGAAACTAAAGCTAACAAGCAATTTATATTTAATAAAACTGAGGTTATCAAATTGAATATTTGTGTGTTGTCTCAAATTGTAGGTATGGCAAGTATTTTATTTACGTTGCTCTAGAGCTGCATAATGGGTTATTGGTGATGGTCAGGGAAGCATACCTGAGGATAATCTTAAGACATATTATCACAATTTCAATCCTTTATTACTGTTAATCGAAACAATGTCACTGAATTAAGTTTAAAATAATATGAAATTACTAATCTGCAAAGCAAGTTAAACTTTTCTGAGATAATTTTATATGATGGGAAAAAATGATTGTTTTTTTAATACGATTTATTCATTTTTTATTGATAGTTTAAAAAATTATAGAAGCTATAAGAATTCAAAAAAGAAAATAGCGTACACATTTGCGACTGCTGAGCATAAGTGGTAATTTATGGGAGAACTGATTTAACTATTTTCCCTTTTTGTAACAAATCCGGTGAGCTCAGGAAAGGGTATAAACAGCTGTTAAAACAGGAGTGGATTGAACTTTGAGTTTAATAAGCGCCAAACTAAATATCATGGCATTCTGTCTCAAACAAATGCAACGATAACATTTATAAAGTAATGAAAATAATTGGTGTAATAAACTATGTTTGACTTAAGGATCGAGGTTCACATGCAGGCTAGACTGACCCAATGCTTGATTCAGGAGTTTCCTTGTCTTCTGGGCTGGTAATAAAATTCAAGACTACGGAGTCAATATTGATAACGGTAAACTCAGGTAAATAAACAGGTAACCAAAGAGGTAAATTCATCCATTCTTGTCAAAATCGTGTTAAAATTTATTTTTCTGATTGCTTGGAAATTTTCCACTCATGATGTCACAGAATTGTTAATATTATTGATTTGCTCTGGTCATATTAAAGTTGCTGCAGATGAGCAAAATTGAACTTTTCTCTTTTTTACAGTGAAGTGCTTTAAATATTGCTGACAGTGCTTTTTCGAAAAGATATTAGTGAGTGAGAAATGTGTGTTGGGGTCCTAAAGTCATAGCACGAACATTGAAGCTGGCGAATAGAGAACGTCCACCTTTTTCCTCTAATAATTGCAGAACACATTTAATTTAAATTTATTTAATTTTTTTAATAGTTGACATATTTTTGTTGGAATAAAAGTATGTACTATTTATTTAGTAAGATACGAAATAACATGCGTTTTATACATAGTACATAATAAAGGATGAATAATTTAATTATATTTCATAAAATAAAGGAGAAACTTGAATTGATAGTTCCATAAAAAAGCTCAATTTTCCTAATAAAAAAAAAATTCTTTTTTTTTCTTTTTTTTGGGGCAGAGATATAATTAGCTCTGAAAATACTTTGTTGCATAAATTGTTTACAAAAACTAAGCTATCGAGAGTTTAAAGATATACAGTCGCATAACATATATATTAACGGCAATATGAAATCCTTGCAATGTATGGCGTTCTTATGTATATGTATTGTATACAAGGATAAGAACTCTTTAGATAAAGTATGATCTCATGATTTGGTTTATGTATATCGCGGAGAATGAAACATTTCTCCTTTTTTTTTGCTTTCTTTTTTTCTTTCTTCGATATTTCTAAGAAAACGCAACTAAAGAAAAATAAAATTTTCTTAGTTCAATATATAAATTTTTCGATGAAACAAAAGTTGTACTTTAGATAGGCTTAATTGCTTATAATAAATTTTTTAAAACAGACCCACAGTAATTTGAAAATTAGCGTACGGCTTTTTGCCGAATAATTTAAAAAAATAAGCATTGCGTTATTTTTTAATGCTTTTTTTCTCTTCTTTTTAAATTACTAAATTTAAGGCAAAAAAAAAGATATTTTATAATCCAATAAATATATTTTTTCTACAACGCAAATTTTATTTCAGAGCAGTTAGTTCAGTTACTATTAATAATTTTTGATATTGAAATCTCCTGTATTCCAAAAATTAGCGATCAACTTATACTGAGTAATGTTTTTCACCATAAGAGAATATCAATGCAAGAAATACCCCACAAAAATTAATCTGAAAATAAACCATTCAACTGAATTAATAAATATTAGTATTGTAGGGAATATAGGGTAAGAATGAACTGCAAAATGATCTTTTTTTCCTTGGAAGTATAAGAGGGACTATCAGGAAAACAGTATACACATCCGGATACCACATAGCATTACAAAAAGTATTCTTTTATTAATACAAATATCGTATATAATTTTGTATTTTATACAATGACGTTTTCCAATTTCCTTGGTAGTTATATAGATTGATTCGTTTAATTCCGATAGCTCACTGGATTTTGTTTTGGTAATTTTTTATTTTTTAAATTAGTTTGAATCAGGGTTAATTGGTTTGAATCAGGGGTGATACTGTACTTAGTTGATTATGAATAAGAACCCAGTCCTAAATTTTCTTCTTTTATATTTTTGAAAGAACTATCAAAGGGAGAAAATTTGAATTTAAAAAATCAAGAGGGAAAATTTAATATATCAAAGAGGTAAGTTAATTTCATTTTATGGTAATTTTATTGACTGCAATATGTCATAAGAAATTTTACTTTAGACGTAATATGGAAAACTTTAAAGCTGAATTAAACTTAAAAATGATTAAACTTAGTTAAAACTTAATTAACAACTAAAGCTGAATTAAACTTTATCAAAACTGAATTGTGCTTAAGCACTTTGATATATTCCTTCTTAAGTTGACTATGAAGAAAAATGATCTATTTTTGAGATGAATGAATTTGTGACTTCTCATTAGATATTTATTATTTGAAATCATATTTTCGCTTACATAATGGCAATATTAGTTAGTAGAATTGAATCCTAACAAGCTGTTTTATATTCTTGTCTAATATTATATATTGTCTAATAGTTTATTCATTCTTTAGACTCAAAGGTTCCGCTTAAATGGTTTACAAATCTGTGTATTTTTTTACAGGAACACAGAAAATAACATTCACTGAAGAAACGATGAAAAAGAGAGGCAGATGGACATTGCATTCTTTCGGTGACTTGAATCAAATCGATCATAGATGGGAGGTGTTGCAAAGCTTGTGTGAGAGTGGCGTAGTTACGTCCATTGTATCATCAACAGGTGCTGGCAATCCGAAAGAAGGTGTAACAAGATGCTTCACTTCTGACTTTGAAAATACAGAAGAAGTGAAAAAAGCAGCAAAAGAAATAAGGAATTTAATAGATTATGAGTATGTGATGTACTATGCAACGCCTGGAAAAGCGACAAAATGTGGCATTGAAGTGATGTATAATACTAGATACATGTATACTGTGAAAGGAGGCTTTTATGGAAAAGATAAATACATGAGATGGATTAGTCTGATGACGTAATATTGAAAATAGTGGGTATTTTTGATATAAATAAACAAAAATAATTATTCTTATTCAGATATTAGATACAGTTTTAATCTGATTAAATACATCTGAAATGTTCAATGCTTTAATTACTTATTTGTACAGTTAGACAATTAGTGTATTATTTTCCCTGTATTAAACAAATGTCGAAGACCTTTATGAATTCTGACAGTTTAATTGATTTATAGAATTAATACGGTCTTAAAAATATGTATACTTCTTATATGAAAAAAAAAACATAGTCATTGATTTTTTAAATAAATATTTATAGCTGCGAAATTTTTCTTTCTGATTTTTCATTTTTCCTTTGGTATAAGATTAGATTCTGTTCATCAATGAATCTGAAATATCTATAATATTGGTTGGAAAAATATTTTTACATAAATTTATTCTCATATGATAAGTTAGTTAATACTCGATGAAAAGTTTTATCAAAAGAAAACTCTTTATGTTGGACAATTTTCTTTTCTTTTATCATTGGTTGCATTGGTTGTTATGGGCAAAGAAAATATTGCGGAAAGAATCAATATCTACAACACATACATAATTGTTGAATCATATTTTTAAGCAAAATAAAGGTAAAAGAGGCTAATAATGAATAAAACAATAACATATTTTGTTGAGAATGGGAATGAAGTTTACATCATGTTATGAGCTTATGAAGAAATAAAAATCGTTTTAAGACATTAAGAAAAACTAAAAAACTGGGTGTAAAAGAGTATAATTAATTTGACCAAAATATATTATAGCTTCTTATAACTATATGATCCATATAGCTAATATCGGCAAAATTTTATTTTAGAAGAGAAATGAATCTTTTAAATTTTGACTCTTTAAATATACATAAGTTTCTATTTTTCGACGCAAGTCAATAAGTTCCTCGTTTTGCTCCAAAAATTAAATTTGAACTGCAGAGGGTCTTTAATATTTTTATCGATATTATCTTAGTATCGTGGTAGTCAAAATCTGTACAAATAAAATTAATTAAGTACAAAAAAAATAATAAAACACGAATTTAGCATATGAAAAAGATTTTAGGATAACCGAACAGTGAAGGATAAAGATCTCAAGGAACAAAATTAAAGATCAAAGAGGAGAAATGGTTTACGTCTATAAAAGTTGATTCTGAGAAAAAACAATGAAAGGCGAGGACATAAACTCTTTTTCCGTAGCATCATTAAACTTTGCTGTGTCATAACTCTCGGAAGAACCGATTTTCCGCATTATTGATTCCTTGAAATTTGATTCAAACTACTTTTTTAAGTTTCATGATTTTGTTAGTAAAAATATAAAACAATAATTTTTTTTTCTATTTAATATTTAACGATTGCGATTATGCCATGAAGGATGCGTCATTCTTCTATGGCATTATCATAACTATACTTTGCGTGATTTATATTACATTTTGGACGGATTTCAATGAAACAACTAAAATATAAGAATTATTTTACTAGTCTATTTGCATTTTCATTCTAGTTTTTTGACGTTCGTGTTTACTGGAGCAGAAGAAATGAGGAATTGTTACAAAAGAAATTTCTTATAATACCCGGAGGATGAAATAATTTCAATATTTTTTATAGCTTTGAAAAAAAATATTATGTATATTTAACTAAAGTTAATTGGTTTAATTTATATTGAAAAATTATGCCTGCTTGTACTCGTTGAGAGCTTAAAAATAATGCTTGCCGGCTTTACTTAGTTTCTTTCGCATATCCTTATAGTATGTTTTTGACAGATTTAGAGATTGAGAGAAGGAGAGAGAGAAAATTAAAGAAAGAGAGAGCTGGAGAAAAAGAGGAAGAAGGAAAATCAATTTAAAAAATTAAATTACTTATCAATTACTTATCAAATGTCTTAATTTTAATGAAAGTCTTTGGTTAGAAACAAAGCTAAAAAAACACACTTTCAGTATTTAATAAATAATCTCGAGAAAGTGAAGCGGTGAGTTATTACCTGATAAAAAAACTTTCTCCGCTTCTAAAATATGCAAAAAAAAGAAAAAAAAAAAAAAAAAANAAAAAAAAAAAAAAAAAAAAAAAAAAAAAAAAAAAAAAAAAAAAAAAGAAAACAGTTGACACGTTTCAAATATAGCCGTATATTTTCATGTCTTTCCAGACGTGAATGAAAAGAAAGGGATTTAAAATTTGACTTTTGTTTCTTCTCGTTCGCGTTTGGCATGTCTTGAAAATAGGCACCTATTTTTGAAGTGCTTAAAACATATCGACTGTGTTTTATGTATTTTTGAAGTGAATGAAGTCTTTAATCAGCTAACAATTTCAGTAGCTTTAGTTTTTAATTTATAAAATTGCAAAAATAATACTGTTGTTTTTAATGACAAAAATATTTTAAAAATGTTTTAATATCTAGTATAGACTAAAAATACTATTTCATGGAAGAATTAAAATTTTTAGTTGCCTGATAGCTTCTGATAATAAGAGATTGCTTGAAAAAAATGGACTATAAATCATGTCTGCCATTCATGCTTTAAGGTAAAAAGAACAGTTAAGGTCAATTCTCATTCTTGACTGATGTATTTTTATTTTGAGTTACTATAGAAACATTAAAAAATAATATTGACTGCTTAAGTACTGATGCTTAAGTGTAAAATAAGGGATCAGTAATAAGAGATCAGCTGAAAATTATAAATATACATATAAAAATATACATCTTGTGGGGAGCTGATGTTATCGACTATGCCAACCGTCATCTATCAAAATGTACCTCATTATTGAATCAAGTTAGCACGCCTTATATACTAGTGAATAATGTTAAACTTTTGTAGTGGTAGTTACGCCACAGTACTCCCTCACCAGAATTTTATCAGAGATATAATTCGATGAACAGATCTCACTAGTTGCTGTACTTGTGAAAGACCGGGAGAGAGTCACCGGATTTTTTGAGTGCTGAATGTGAGAGGTGTATTAACTTCACAGACGTGGTCGTTCCTGTGTTGCCTTTAGCAGTCGAGTGTATGCTTGCTGACGTTGTGTGTGTATTTGAGACGAGAATGAGCAACAGCGCAGGAGGGTGAATGATGCATTCACAAATAGCAAGTCAACCGTACAATGTGGACTATCCATTGAAGTAGGCGTAACCGTTAAGAAATTGGGAAGTGGGCGTTACTTGCGTGAGCAAATCACGTTCGAAGGTCACCAATGTGGGGGGCTGATGTTATGGACTATACCAGTGTTTCCCAAAGTGTGGTACGCGTACCCCCAGGGGTACGGGAACAGTTTAGAGGGGGTACGCGTACTTATGTTAAATATCATGCAACAAACGAAAATTTCAAAATTTCTTATTTAAAAACAAAGCTAGCCATGAAAATTTACGATTACGTATTTTTCTATTGGCTATTTTTTGCAGAGTTAACAGTCAGTTAACAGAGTTAACAGTGGTGTCAACAGTCAGTTGTGATTTTTAACTTTTGTACAATTTTTTTATAGTAAAAAATACATTTATTTTTTATTAGTGGTACACAGTGTTACGAAAAATTTAGAAAGGGTACACAAAAGTTATAAGTTTGGGAAACACTGGACTATGCCAACCGTCATCTATCAAGAGGTACCTTTTGATAGAAGACGGTTGGCATGGTCGATAACTCCGCCCCCCACAATCTTAATAAATATTTCTTTTGTTATTTATTTAAAAAAAAGAGGGTGAAAAATATTAACATATTTATGATTTAATAACAGAAATAAGAATAAAAGACATAAATGGAATGGATAATGTGGCAAAATAAGAAAGATTACATGGAAAATATGGTTGAATAATTAAATTATGACACAAAAGGCAAAAAGATATTTAACTATTGGTGTCTTAACTTATCAGTTGCATCATATTTACAAATTGCAACTACTTCTTTGGTGCAAATGCAGTGATTAATTTCAGTTTTTTTTTAATGTTTTTTTTGCCAAAATTTCTATTTTTTAAAATTATTATTTCCATGATTTAATTAAATACACTGTAAAACTTCCGGATCAATTTACGGTATTTAGTACCAACACTTAGGGGAAACATCGTCCAAAATACCTATTTTACCGTAAAATCTATTTTTACGGTAAAGCATACAGTAATGTTTACAGTAATATTTAATGAGAGTGATTCAGTGAATTCAGTGAAAACTAAGAATCAAATTTCAATAAAAAGTACTAAGTGCAGCATCCTTAAAATACATTTTACTGAAAGTTTTATACTGTAATTTTTACAGTAATATTTAGTTACTTATAGTCTTTTTACAATAAACATCACGGTAAATATTGCATTATATCAGATTTCTTTCTATACGAAAATTTACGGAAAAAATAGATTTTAGTGTAAATACCTGTTTTTTAATCGTAATTTGATTCAGATTTTGTTACAGTATATTGATTCGAGATATTTCCATGCTGATTGCGATCATTACAATTATATATTTAATTTTTTTATTTTTTTTTTATTCACGATTAAAATTATTAAAAATTGAACTTAGAAATATATTTAATGCTTTATTTTTTATAGGAGAAGTATTTTGAATTTTTGATCTAACGGAATTAGATATTTTAACGATAAAGTATTGTGATAAGAAAAGAGGAAAAGATAAAATCAACTTTTTAAACAGACGCTGTTGCTTTCTCGAGTTTAGTTTTATTGCTGATCAGTTTCAATCCATTGTTGAGTTATCAATTTTATACTTTGCATTTCCTGGTAATTATTCATTTTATTAAAGTGGTTACTGATTCTCTTTATCACATTCATTTGTTCTCTAAAAGATACTCAGATATTTATGTTGTTTTAAATTTATTTTTAAATTAATCATATGATTTAAATTCTTCAGAAATAAAACATTTTCTTGATTGAATAGAGGAGAGAATGTAATGCTTTAATTTATGACCAGTTGGGGGGCAAAATTCAATAAAGTTCAAATTTTTATTGTCCGTTGTGCGGCAAGTAAAAAGCAGCTAGCTCAGCGATTGGCATTTGGTGTACCTCCTTATTAAGATTTTAAAACTTCAGAATTTCTTCGCAATGAGATAATTTGAACTAGAGTTTTTCTAGCAAGATTTGTATGATTCATCATTTGTATCAGTAATTAGAATTATTTTTTGCATGGGGAATGGGGAATGTTAAGCTGAAAATAAATTTTCTAATGGTGCTCAACAATTTCTCAAAGGTGTTTAACAGTTTTGGGAATTTTTTAAAGGTGGTCTATATCACAAATCTTTGAATAAAGAATATCAAAAAGAAAAACAAAATTAATTTCACTGGTTTAACTATTGGATGATTTCTGAAATTTTAAAGCAACCAAATTTAAAACAGTAATTCAATTCATGACCCAAATATACAGTTTTTCTTTTCATTTAATTTAATTTTATATGGTGAATCTATGAGGGTACTTTATTGACATAAATACCATAATGATAAATATCCTAAATTGCAGAAATTTTTTTAAACTTATGTAATTTTTTTTTTACTTAAGATACTTTAAATTTTACTTTAGATAGAATTAAACGGTACATATTGTTTTTATTTGCATTTATATATTTTGTTCTTGCATGATTATTTTTTTAAATTTAGAAGTTTTATGATATTACTCGTTGAAAAGTTTAAAAAAATAATGCCCAAATTAACTTGAATATAACAGTTTAGAATTTCCTAAGCCAAATAAAATGAAAATTATATCAAAGCTAAAAGCAAAATTAGTTTCATTGGCTTAACTATTTAATCATTTCTACAATTTCAAAGCAACTAAATTGGAAACTGTAGTTCTATTTACGACCTAATTATGGAGTTTTTTTATTCATTTAATTTAATTCTATATGAGGAATCTGCGAATGTTCCTTAAATATTGACACAAATATCGTAATGATAACTATCGCAAATGTAATTTTTATTTATTTATTTAGTTTTTGAATTTTACTGCTGATAAATTTGAGCAATAGATATTGCTTTTGTTTGCATATACTTCTATATACTTTATTGCTTGATCCTTATTTTTAAAATTTAGAACTTTTATGATATTACTCATTCAAAAACGAGTAAAAATAATATAAAACGTTGCTTTAAAAAATCAATATCACTAAGTTAAAGAAAATGTAAGCTTTGCAAACTCAATTTAATTAATGGTCAAAATATTTCATTCATATTATGGTTAGAACATTTTGGTGAGCAGAAAAACTTTACTCGTATTTTCAGAGTTTATCGTTGACTATTAAAGATGAAGAAAAAAATCGATTGTTGATTGTATGCTGAAATGTGTTACGTTCTCAAAATATTTTGCTTCTAATTTGCAGAACAAAGAACGTTAATTTTTTGTGCCGTGATGTCATCTTCCGATTGTGATGATGAAAATTCAATAGAAAAGACAAAGGTAACCAAATATCAGGAAACAAAGCTAGAAACTGATTTGAAATTACTTCAAGTAAAAGAAACGAATAGCAATTCTCAATCTTCCACAAGTGAGGAAGGTAAATAAAAATTTCATTGTTTTTGTTGCCTTGTTAAATATTTTTAGTATAAAAAAATCAAGTCAAACATTTACATGATTTAAGAGGCGATTTTTTAAAACTAAATTTAATTAATTTCAAAATAATGATTTATTTATAAAATTTTAAAAATATTACACATTTGAAATTGAAATTTTAAATTCAATTAAAATTATTTTTAAAATTTAATCAAAATTTTTCTGAAATTTAAACAAAATGTTTTCTAAAATTAAAATTAATTAAATTTATTTTCTAAACTTAAAATAACTAAAAATTACTCTTAAGTATAAAATTAATTCGAATTGTTTTAAATTTAAAATAATTTAAATTATTTTTAAAATTAAAATTAATAAAAATTATTTTTAAAATCTAAGTTGATTAAACTTATTTTTGAAACTAAAAATTAAGCAATTTGATTTTTTAAAATTAAAATTTTGAATATTATCACTGGAATTTTTTGAATATGTTATAGCTAAAAATTAGGCATTAAAAAATAATTGATGACTTTTAGGCAAAAAAAAAGATATTTGTTTAAAGAGTTTAATAGAAGTCAAATTAGGATTTATATTTGTAACAATTTATTTAAATATTTTTTATTTTACTTTGAAAAAGCTTCCTACACATAATAAGATAAACAATATAATAGATAAACAATATCCTAGAAAAATATTGCATCTTTCTATTTAAAAAAAGTGCTTGGTCTGATACGTAATTATTTCTGTAAATAAATTTAATTAAGCATCTTTTTTCATCTTTTTTTAATTCTTTTGTATTAATGCAAGTCAAAATAAGGAAAAAATATTATATTTGGCATTTTAAAAATGTATAGTTATGAAATACAGCATAAAACGCTGGTCATATTTTCTGCGTTAAAGATAAAACACGGCTCACTTTCAGTTAAAGATTTTTTAAATCTGCACTTATTTAGATCGTAATTTAACAGTCATTCATCATTGAAAGTTTTTAATTTACAAAATCATTTATTGATAAAATTTTGAAAATGAATGAAAAAAATTCATATATATCTGTTCTTGCATATTTACATGGGGATCTGTTAATTGTGTTCTTAGACAGCACCAAGTTGTTTGTACGAGTTAACATTGTGGTATAAAATTATTCAACAGCGAATTTCGTGGGCTAATGTTTTATTAATTAATTAATTTGGATACTTAGTTTGAATAATATAGTTACCTAGAAAAGCAGCAAACCAGACATTTAAATTTCTTCCATTTTTTAATGAATTTTTTCTATCATTGGTATCTTTCATGTATCATGGAAATAAGAAAAAGGTACAATTTTAAAATTCGAAAAAACTTTCAATTTCTAAAATAAAAAAGTCCTCTTTGTTTTTTAAAATAGGAAAAATATTCTTTTAAAATAATTTTCCGGAAAAGGCAGCTCATCGAGATATTTTTTTAATAATTAAAAATGTTCTTAAATACGAAAACTTGGTGAAAAATTTAAGGAAACTCTGAATTCTCGATCAAAAGTTAATCACATATCAGAATACTTATCTTACTTATACTTATCTTACGTTGCGTTTTAGTTATCGATCACTAAAAACAGTATAAATTTCATTAATTTATTACATAAAAATTTTTCATCGAATTTTTTTTGGTTTCACAATCGAATGTTCACCTTATTTATGGGTTCAGTAAGCAGCCTCAATTTAATTTAGGTATCCAAAATTATCAAGAATAAGACAAAATTACTACCAATCAATTTAGCCATGAATTTTTTCTTCTAAAAACTGATGCATTCATATAATTTTATTCGTACCAGTATCGATTTTAAATCTAAACCACAAAATGTTTTGGCACTCCAAAATAATACTTTAAGATATATGATTCAATCCTTACTGAAAATAATTTTTCATTTCTTCAGGAAGTACTGCTCAAAAGAAGTTTTCAGCCCATAACCTCAGTCATGAAGAATCAACTAGAAACACAGAAAGACCAGAACCATCATTAAGAGACATATTTCCTTCAAATACAGTTCCTTCAACGCAAAATACTCATAGTATGAGATCAACTACTGAAGCAGGTAATTTTGAAGCTGATGCAGCAAATTGGAGGAGTTTACGAAGTCCTAATCCAAAGGAAAAGAACGAATCTATTTCCGTTTCAAGTTCGTTAAGTTGGAGAGACCCCCACTTTAAATATGAAAGATTGAAACAAAATGATAATTCTTCGTCAAGAAAGTGGTGGAATGAAGATATGAGAGAAAATCGATCTAGATCTTTTGAAAACAAATCGACGTATATTGAAAATAGAGATAAATCAAAAAGCGGAAACTGGGCACTTTCCTGTGCACCTGATATTGTACTTGATAATGGATTAACGGAAGTAGAACACATTCAGAAGTGTGTGAATGAACTTCATGAACAAAATGCGGAGTTGTTTGCTTCTCGTCATCCTAAAGTGTTTCAGAAACCCAATGGAACTATTAGCATTAACTGTTACACTTCTAATTATGAAGATAAAGTACACGTTGCTAAAGTTGCAGATATATTGGTTGAAAAAATCGGATATTATCCGTATTGTTTTTTATATTTTTACGGAAATAAGCCTTTGTACATGAAGACATGTGAAAAAGAATTCTATGAATTTAATGAAAATAATTTTAAATTAATTGATTTCGATGAATGAGTTTTGCTGGTAGTGGACTTTAATTGCAACATAATAACCATAATTCTAAACATTTATAATTATATTTAATTAACATTTATAATTATAACATAATAATAATTATAAATATTTGCTTAATTATGTTCAATACTAGTGAATATGAGAATGCATGAAGTTTTGAATAGTTTATTTTTTAAAAAGTTCTAATTTTAAAAGTTAATTTTTTAAATACATTTGTTGAAAATGAATTTTCATTACTTCGCCAGAATACGGTTTTCAGTTAAAAATATTTAGTGATTTAGCAACTTAATCATAACATTAATTTTTTATTGTTTTTGTTACTTTATACCTATTAAAAAGGAATAAAAAACCTTTTTAACAGGTATTTAAAGTATTATCTAATTTCGAGTTTTCTAAGTATATTTTCATGCTTTATTTATTTAAAAGAAAGCTTCATTTCCAATGAAATTTCACATAATTTCAGGTGATCTTTCTAATAGTTTAAAAAAGTGCGATGCACAATATTAAAAAAAAAGTTATAACAAATATCCTTTATAAAATTAATGAAAATTATAGAAATTTTATGTAGATTAGGAAAGATACTTTGTAATAATTTTCCAAATAAAGAAACTTTCTTATCCAAATGAAATTCTGTTTATTTGACGTGCAATTTACGGTAAACATTTATTGTGACTGTTAGATTTTACATCTAAATTTCTACATTGTTTTTATATTTCTAGAGTTAGACTCATAAATTTCAAGAACGAAAAAAAAACGTAACTTCGTGCTGGTAATGAGTGTATCATGATACTTTGATCAATTAATTATGCATATCAAATTTTATTTAATTAGGAATTTATTTTTCTGCAAAATTTTTTCATGAAACTTTAAAAATGAAGTCTTAAATTGATTCCTTTTTTAAGTTTTAGACATATTTTGCACAAACTATGTACAGAATCTATTTTTTAAGCTATGAATTACGATAAAAACAACTTATAATATGGACTGACTGAATATACCTACTCTCCGTGCAGGGGGGAACAAACTAATTAATAAATCAGTTTTAACAACACTGCGTAATCAAGAATAAAACTGAAAATAATATATATTGACGGAATTAATACAGCACGAAAATAACTCCAAATTTTTTTCCGATTTTTAAAAATTATTCATTGCTTTTTTCCGGTGGTTTTAGTTGCTCATTTTCGGTTGTTCCACATTTTTAGTTGCTTATTTCTTCAAAATAAAGATTAACTGCATTCATTATCATTTGACTTGATTTCAGTATCATTTAGCTGCTTGAAAATAACTCACGTTAGTCAAAATTTACTGCTATTAAGCAATTTTTTACGGTACTCATTCTTTTAGAGGGGCCGAAGAAAACCTAATTTCCCAGTATCCGTGTTACGACAATAGGATAGTATTTAGTTTTGAAGTAATAATACGAAATGTAATAATATAATACCTTTTACCTGTATTATTGTACTTGGTACATATTAAAACTACACAAATCAACATAATAGCAGTAATGCCTATTGCAAAAATTTTTAAAGGGAGCCAGTGTGGTATATGCCAATCATGTTAAAACTGACATTTTTCAATGTACCTTCCCTCAGCATCTAAACAAGATATTGCTTCAATTTTTTTCATAGAATATTTACATATGTTTACAGTGATAACTGCTAATGCATATCTTTGGCAATATTTCTTTTAAAAAAGTTATGAACTGAAAACTTTAAATTTTTTGAAAAAAATTCATAATTTTTGAGCAAAAATACTTCATAACTCAAAAAGTATTCCTGTTAACTGTAAAACATTATTCCAGCCACATTTTGACAGTTTGGGTGGAGTACGTGCAGCTAAATGTCTTGAAACTCGACCTATTCAGTAGTTGAAGTTGATATGTAGCTCCTGCATAGTAATGGTGAGATTAAGAAAATAAAGGTATGATTTAAGCTACTACATAAAGC